GTCGTCCCCATCTCTAGTAGCAGCACCCTTCCAGCGGACACCCGGATGCCGGCAGAGGTGACCGGGCAGAGCCTGGGGCAGGGGCTGCCCTAGGAGCTTGTGTGGCTCTGCCACACCCTGTCGGTTTGCTCTGAGGCCCTGAGTTCCTTCTCCCCTGCTGCATTGCACCATGGGTATTGAGAGGGCTTTTGAGTTTGGGGACCCGGTGAGCTGCTGCCTGAGGGGACCCAGACCCGGGTTGGCTGTGGAGCCGGATTCAGCGAGCAAGGACAAGGCTGGCCCTGGCTTCATCTGAGGACCACTGCAGGCTGGAGGCTGTGGGCCTGGCAGGGCCTAGCCGGTGGGGAGGGGAGGTGGCAGGCGCTGCGCTGCCTCAGCCTCACGCGAGCACCCCCTCCCTGCAGCCCAGTCGCCCGCTGTGCTATGAGCAGTCAGAGCGCCGTCTCCACAAGAGTTTACAAATGAAAATGGAGGAAATGTCTTTGTCTGGCCTGGATAACAGCAAGCTAGAGGTGAGGCCCTGCGTGCACCTCCCGCTCTGTCTGCTGGTGTCTGCGTGACAGTTGCCACCCGGGATCGAGACGGGGCACCTAGTGGTGGGCAGCCGTGGTGACGCGCTGTCCCTGGCCCAGGCCATCGCTCAGGAGATTTACGCAGACCTGGTCGAGGATTCATGCTTGGGATTCTGCTTCGAGGTACACCGGGCCGTCAAGTGTGGCTACTTCTTCCTGGATGACACGGACCCGGACAGCATGAAGGATTTCGGTGAGCTGCGGAGGAGGGGACCCTAGCCAGGCTGGGCTGTGAGGGACAGTGCCCACCCTGACCTCCATGCTCTCCTGCCCCCAGAGATCGTGGACCAGCCCGGGCTGGACATCTTTGGCCAGGTTTTCAACCAGTGGAAGAGCAAGGAGTGCGTCTGCCCCAACTGCAGCCGCAGCATCGCCGCGTCCCGCTTCGCGCCGCACCTGGAGAAGTGCCTGGGTATGGGGCGCAACAGCAGCCGCATTGCCAACCGCCGGTGAGGATGCCACCTTCCAGCTCCCTCATTGCACCTGGGCGGTGGTGGGGCACAGAGGGTGGGTTGTGCGCAGCCTGGATGCCCCCCGAGCGTCGAAGGCGGCTGCTGAGAGCTGGGCCGGCCTGGTGCCGTGTCCTCTGCCTGCAGGATTGCCAGTAGCAACAGCGTGAACAAATCAGAGAGTGACCAGGAGGACAACGACGACGTCAATGACAACGACTGGTCCTATGGCTCGGAGAAGAGAGGTGTGCGGGCGGCTGCGGAACCCCGGGTACACTGGCGCGAGGTGGGAGAGGCAGGTGTGGTGTGGTGGCACACTGGCTGGAGCCCCTGCACTCTGGGAGGCAGAGGCAGGAAGATCCCAAGTTGGAGCCCAGTCCGGGGAACTTAGCGAGACCCTGACTCAGGGCTGGTGATGTAGGTCATTGTGAAGGCCCTGAGTTCAAATCCTAACACTGAAGAAAATTGTCACAAATCACATGGAGAGAGGATAGTTTTGCCTTTCCTTCAGGTGCTCTTAGGGTGGGGGCTTAAAGTGGCCCTGCCTGGGGCTGGAGAAGGGCTTGGAGGTAGAGTGCCAGCCTATCTTATCAAGCCCATGTTCACTCCGGTACTGCCAAAAAGTCAGAAGGGAGACGTAACTGTACGTTTCGTGCTTGTGTCCCCCACAGCCAAGAAGAGGAAATCGGACAAGGTGAGAGCAGGAAGTGTGGGTGAAGGACAGTCCCTCCTCGGGGTAGGGTCTCCTGGGGTCTGGCTCCAGTCTGAGGTTACGTGGTGGGAGGGTGTGTGGCGGGCGGGGCCTTTGACTGGGGGTGGCATTTGAGGACGTTTCTTTGTCAAATGTTTTTCCTTCCCTGGGTTCTCGGCTCCCCCTTATCGTTGCCCTTTCCCCAAAGCTGTGGTATCTCCCATTCCAGAACCCCAATTCCCCTCGAAGATCGAAGTCTTTAAAACACAAAAATGGTGAGTAGCAGCGGAGCAGCGGGTGCTGTGGTTGTGTCACCCAGGACCCGCGGGTGTGGAGGGTGGGCCTGTGAGCCTTCTGTCACCCCCACTTCCTCTCTGGTTATTTTCAGGGTTCTCTGTCTGTACCTCTGCATCAAACACCCTTCCCCTTCTTTTTTCTTCTTCAGGGGAACTTAGCAATTCGGATCCTTTTAAGGTGAGCAGGGCTGCCTTTGCGCCCCTTGTCGAGGTCCCCCTGGGGTGGTTGGGTTAGGACAGATGGGTTGGGGCTGCTCTGTCTGCCTACAGGGGGATGAGGACTCAGGTGGGGACACCCCTGACATGCACTCTGGTTCCCACAGTACAGCAACTCAATGGGGATCAGCTACGAGACGCTGGGGCCAGAGGAGCTGCGGAGCCTGCTCACCACGGTGAGGAGCCACCGGCGGGAGGCGGAGGCGGGCTCCCTGGAGCCGGGGTGCCTCAGGAAGCCGGGGTGCCTCAGGGAGCCGGGGTGCCTCAGGGGCTAGACCAGGTCCCGGCTGGCCACCTCAGCTTCTGTCTCTCTGCAGCAATGCGGGGTGATTTCGGAACACACCAAGAAGATGTGCACAAGGTGAGCGTGGGGTTGGGGGAACCCCTGGCCCCGCCTCAGGCTGCTGGGATGTGGACCTGGGCTGACCCTGCTGTCCCCACCAGGTCCCTGCGCTGTCCTCAGCACACGGACGAGCAGAGGCGGACCGTGCGGATTTACTTTCTCGGGCCCTCGGCGTGAGTCGATGGGAAGGGCTGGCCGTGCGGGTGGTGGCGGGGGTGGTGGTGATGCTGGTGCTCCAGCCCCAGCTGGCCCTGGCCCTCCCTCCACAGGGTCCTCCCCGAGGTGGAGAGCTCGCTGGACACCGACAGCTTTGACATAGCCGACAACCAGGCCCTGCTCAGCCGGCTGCAGTGGGACGGCTCCTCCGACCTCTCGCCCTCGGACTCGGGCTCCTCCAAGACCAGTGACAACCAGGGCTGGGGCCTAGGTACTCGGCGGCCCCGGGTCCTGCTGGAGGTGCGGGCCCCTCCACCCACCTCCCCACTCACCTGTCCCCTCCACAGGCACCAACAGCTCCGAGTCCCGGAAGACCAAGAAGAAGAAGTCGCACCTGAGCCTGGTGGGAGCTGCGTCTGCCCTGGGCTCCAGCAAGAAGAAGAGGCCAAAGCCGCCAGCACCCCCGACGCCCAGCATCTACGACGACATCAACTGATGGCGGCGCAGGCATCGCCTTTGGCTGAGCAGAGCCCTCCGACCCTGCCCGGCGGCACAGCCTGGCACACGGACGCTGCTGGGGTTTGGGCTCAGCGAGTGTGGGGGACCAGGCTGGCAGAGGGTCCGCTTGTGCACCCCTGGGGGGCGCCAGGGTCCTCTGCAGTGGAGCCGGCCATAGACCTGGACACAGTTATGCCTTGGACACAGTTCGGTGGGAGGCGGTTTTCCTATTTATTCTGTGAGTTACTGGATGTTGGGCTGGGCCGGGGCCTGGCCTGGGCACTGCCCCAAGCTGCCTACCCCACCCCAGGAACTGGACCTCACCCCGCGGAGGCCCGAGGCAATGTGAAGGGGTCTGGGCTGGCCAAAGTGGGCCGGGCATGGAGCCGCAATGCCTGTCTGGTGGGCACCAGTGGCCAGCTGCTGGGTGGTGCCCAGGACTGCACTGCCTCCCCACCCGCGGCAGCCCCTCCATCCCCACGGGTTCCTGGGCAGCTGGAGCTGTCCTTTGTTGGGTGCCAGGAGAGGGCCGCAGCCTCGAAGCTTCAAGGAGCGGAAAGGGTAGGGTGGGCTGGGGTGGGGCTGTCACCGGACTCCACCATCCCTCCAGACCTGACCCTGCAGTGGCGAGGAGGGGCCGCGGTGAGGGAACGGTGCTGCTTTATTTGAAATGTTTTCTTACCTCATTCCCTGCCCCAGGAAGGGTGCGGCCTCGCCCTCCTGGGGTGGCCCCATGTCCCCTGTGCCCACCCTGCCCCTGCCCTGGGGCAGCCCAGCCCCAAGCTGCTGCTTGCCACCTTCTCCTCATCCTGCTCTGTCCCAGCCTCAAAGCTGCCCTGTCCCCTCCTGCGCCGCTTTTAAGTTATTTATTCTGTACTTGTGGTTTGGGGCTTCGAGGAAAATCCGTACCTTGTGCCTCTCCCCATGCTAGGAGTGGATGGGAAGAGGGTGGCTCTGCGCCCCAGGCCAGTAGAGGGAAGGGTGGCGTCGCCCCGTGGGATGTTGTGCCAGCGTGCCCACCAGCCTGCTCTCCGTCCAGAGGGATGTACAGCCCCTCATGGGCTCCATGCGCCAGGCCAGAGGATCCGCTAGCCGAGGACAGAGGTGCCTGCCTGGGCCAGAGCTGACCTGTCCCATTCCCTGGCACGCGCTGGACATCTCCCACATTTGAGTGGCTGGCACCCAGGACTGCTCGGACTGACGGGTTAGGGACCCTGGAGGGTTGTGGGAACAGCTGGATGGGGCTGCAGGACCCTGTCTGGCACCCCAGTTTCTCCCTGGGGTGCTTCTGACTGGCTGATGCCTGGTTACAAATTGGTTTTTAACCCAAACATTGTGATTATTTTTTAAAAAGCCAAAAGCATTTTGGCAGGAGGTAGAATAAATCCTGGGACCTGGGTGCCTCTCTTCTTGGCCCTCACAGCCTCCTCCCTCGAGGGGCCACCCGGTCAGGAGGGGGCCAGGGGCACAAGGCTGGGCAACCCCTCCTGATAGCCGGGCCTCACTCTGGGTTAGGAGGAAGCGGGAGGCAGTCTGGGAGCAGGCCTGGCTGAGAGGAGGTGGCAGACCCCTGCCCCAGCTCAGAGCCCCTCCTCCTAGCCTCAGGCTGGGTCCTGCCCTGTGTCTGAGTGTGGGGTCCGCACTAATCCCACGGCCGGTGGCTTCCTTTCCACGCATTGCTCCCCCCTCCGCATGCCCAGGGCCACCTGCCTGGCATCACCGCATGCTGGGGTCATTGGGGGAGGGGGGGGGCTCACGCTGTCCTGTGGTCTTGAGATTTTTATTTTTGCATATAATCCATCCTGTACAGGTAGCTAACTTTGTAAACGCTGTGTACCCTCTGCCCTGGCTGCTGGTGTAAATAAACTGCATCTCCCATTGGTAGCCTGGCCTCCCTGCCCTCATTGCCACAGTGCTGGGGCAGGGCAGAGCCACGTTCTGGATGTTACAGGAAGTGCCTTGGCCACAAAATGCAATTTTATTCATTCACAAACAAGGATCTTTTACCTGATGACACCTTGGAACCTGGTAGGCAGGGTCTGGCTGACAACCAGGGCTCCACTTGTAGTCCTGGACCTAGGGGTGCAGCAGTTGGGGTCTGATGCCTTCCCATCTGAGCCCATAAAGGACTAATAAAGAGGCCAGCAAGGTGCTATAAGGAGGGAAGGTCCCCTATTTGGGTGGTGGGCAGGCACAAACCCCCCCCCCCCAGTGCCACAGCAGTCTCAGGACTGACACCAAGGGTGCCTGCAGCCATGCCCAAGCCCAGACACTGGGGAGCCACTCCAAGCTTCCCACCAGTCAGGTGGGCTCTGAGCTTCAGAAAGGAGGTGGCACCTGCACACTACCTGAGTTGTGGTGGCACAGAGGGGGATGTCTGCTCCTGACCCAGCAGGCAGCCTGATGCCCACCTGCTGACCCTGACCTAGGAATCACATCCTGGCTACCCCCCTCCAGCCTGGCCCAGCTGCAGCCAGGAAAGGGAGGTGGCAGTGGAGGAGGACCATGCCCTGCATGTCTCCCAAGGTCCTAGCGCCCATAAAGCCCGAAGACCAAGAAGCTGAAGAAGACCGTGATGCCCACTAGGGAGACTGTGGCAGGGGCTGTGAAGAACTGGCGGTAGTTGATCCGGAAGTACCAGACCACGCCCAAGAGCACCACGAACACAGGCACCATGAGGCTGCCTGCACTGATACCTAGGCTGGGTGGTTCTGCAGCTGAGGGGGCCAGGGGGGCTGAGGAGTCCGGGGCAGCAGTCCCCAGGGGTGAGCAGTGACAGTGGATCACACAGCTGTCAGTGATGTTCAGGGAGTGCAGTGTGCGCTCAGGGTCCTGCAGCAGGCGGCCCCGGTAGATGAGTTTTATCCGATTCTCTTGTCCAGGGAAGTATTTTCTGCAGAATGGGAGAGGGGAAGAGGATAAGAATGGGACACCATGGTGCAGGCCTGTAATCCAGGCACACTGGGAGGCTGAGGCAGGAAGATCCCAAGTTTGTGTTCGGCAACATCCTGACACAAAAAGGGCTGGGGATGTAGTTCAGTGCAAAGGCCCTGGGTTCAATCCCCAGTACAGTACTGAGCAAATAAGTAGGCTGTCAGGGGGACTGGCAGGGGGAGTTTCCACAGAAGTATCCCACTGCCCTGGGCAGGGGAGGATCTGACAACACCCCCTCTCCTCCCACAGCTGCGTCAGCCTCTTCAAGAAGCCAAGCCCTGGGGCCCCCACTTACCTCTTCAGGGCACCCACAGTGTCCTCCGGCTTGGCCACAGCCAGTTCCTCAGTGTCATTGAGGAATTTGAGCCGCAGGTTGATGAGGCCGGCAGCAGAAGGCAGGCAGGGGCCCCCATCTGACTCAGGCAGGGCTGCTGGACCACCACTCTCTGCAGCCACCTCCCACCTGGGCAGGCCCTGGATGTCCAGGAGCTGCTCTAGGTTGGGCTCCACACCTGCCCCGGCACCCAGCTCCCTTGCCGTGTCGCCCCTGCCTGTGCAGGTCTCTTCAGCCTTCTCCTCACTGCCCTCTGATGGGTGGGGCAGCTCGGTGGGCTGGGGGGCGCCTGGGCCTGAAACCAGCTGGTCCACGTGGCCCAGGTGCAGGACGGAGGCGTCGCCTGCTGACACAATAGTTCCCAGGAGCTGACTGCTACCGCTGTCTGCCACATATGTAGAGAGCCAAGCTAGGACCAGGGCTAGAACCAGCACCACCACACCTGCCACCACAGTCACCTCATTACCCACACCCTCCATGAGGGTGACACCAGAAAGCTCCATGGCCTGGCTGCTGCCCGGGTCCACACTGCAGGAACAAAGGGAAGAGCATCAGCACAGCCTGAGGGCCCGAAACCAGCTTCCAAGTTTAAATTCAAACTGAGCCAGCTCTGAAAGAAAATGGGGTTCAGTGGCCTGCAGAGAGAGGGCAGATCTCCCAAATGCAGACCCACAGAGTGCAGGGCTTCACAAAAGCCGCTGGCCCTGCTGCTTCGGCTACAGCTCCTGCTCATTGCCTTTTTGTTGAAGGAGAAAAATGCCTGCTTCTTTGACTCCAGATTTCTCCAGGATTTTCACCTGCCAAGCCACCTCCAAGTTGGCTTCAGAGATGTGACTGGGGCTTCTCTGAGGAAGAGTCCAGCCACCCCTGACAGGTGTCGGGGGCACACACCCACACCCTGATGTGCTGAGCCACAGGACGGGGCCTCTCATCCAAGCCAAGTCCGATCACCACAGAGGACCACGCTGGAGGGGCAGCAGGAGACACATCTGCCACCTCTGAAGCTCCGGCAATTCCTGGGAGCCACACGGGGTGACACCAGAAACACTGCCATGCTCCTGATCACCACCGGCTTCACAAGTGCAAAACCACCCCGGGATGGAAGTGATCTCTCGGGAGCCTCGCAAGCCCCGCCACGGTCTCCTAGAGCTCGTTTTCTCTCCGGCTTCTCAGCGGGGCAGGAGGCAGCTCTCCCCTCTGCCTCCACCGGGGCCTGGGCAAACCCCTCCGGCTGTCATCGTGGCACTACTTGCGGATACCACAGGACCTCAATAAGCGCATCCACCTCACCTGTCCGGCTCTGCCAGGCAAGGATCACATGGGTTTTTCGCCCTCGAGTGCTCAAAGAATATTTATGGACAATGGAAATAACATTGGGGTAGTTTCCATATCCTTAACAGATGGGCCCAGGAGTCAGGAAAAACCTAATTATTGTCCCGACTTGCCTCTTCCTAGCTATACAACCTCGGACAACTTTCTTATAATCTAGGTGTTCTCAATAGTCCAATGGGACTAAAAACAGTACCTACCTCATAAGGTTACTCTGAAGATGACGTGAAATCATCGAAGCAAAATAATTAGCGCAATGGCTGGCACACTGCAACCGCTGAGCAAAACAACGGCAGCGATTCTGTCACTGACGTGGCTAAGCCCGAAAGACAGAAACTGTCAGGCACCGCTAACTGCCGAGGGGAGACCGGCCCGGGGCGACCCGGGTGGAGAACCCCGCATAGGACACTGGTCGACCTTCAAGGCGCGGTCCCGCGGAGGGTCGGGAGAGCAGGCGCGGGTC